TTTGTGGTTCAGGTTCAGGTTCAGTTCAGGTTCATTGAACCTAAATTTGAACTGAACTGAACCTAGGAACCCTATCCCTTCGATTCTTTGATAGCATCTTTTTTTTTGTAATCAAAAACTATTTCTTTAGCAATAGACATAGTAAATTCTAAAAATAAAAGATTACTATCACAAGAACTCTCTTGAGTATTTGTCGTGTTATCTATAGCAGGACTCAGAACTTTATAAGAATCCTCTGATATTATTGGGCCATCCACATCTATTTTAATAGTTTGAAAATCATTTTGAATAAACTTGTAAAAAATAATTTTAAGTTTACCAGATTTAATATCTGTATCATCTATAGTAATAAGGCCCATATATTTATAATGTTTAAAATATTTAAATTCTTTACCAATCATTAGAATAAGTGTATTTATATTTATTTTAAATTCATAAACAATATTTTTAGAAAGTTTCTTCGCCACATCAAGTCTTGTATTTTTAAAATTATACCGAATTTCTTTATCAATTGTCGAAATAAATGTATTAATTATTTCTTTAAATTTTCCAGCTAATATAGCTACAAGTCTATAATTAATTATTTCTTTTTCTTCTTCTCATTTATATTCTTCTAAATATTTTTTTCTACTAAATATTTATACAGACCAGATTTATCATCATCATTATTATTATACTGATTAGATTCCAGATCAACTTCCTGTGGATATTTTTTCTTTATAGATTAGTTCTTATTTAATTTCTCAAATATTTCATCTGGTTTATCATGTAATTTCTGATGAGGTATACGAGCAAGTCTCAAAATAATGTTAATATCAATTTCTGTTCCAAAGAATGTCACGTCATCATACCCTAATCCACATTTTTTAAAATATCTTTCATAGACATCATTTTTTATTACATAAGTTCTTTTTAATAACAAATAATAAACAGACACAGGTGCTAAAATAATTGATGCAGGTATAAGAGCCAATAATAAGAAAATTCTAAAAAAGATACCTTTCCAACCCATTTTTTCAAATATATTTGTTTTTGATTTATCATTATCATTATCAAATTTTCCCAATGACAATTGGACAAAATTTCATAGAATTTTTTAAAATGAGATAAAATTATATTGATGAGCTATAATGTTCCAAATAGAATTATGCCTTCAACAAGGTATTTGGCAAAGGAATATTGACTAGGCTAATATTAACTAAAATTGTAATAGTTGTCAAAATGATCATAAATAAAATAACAACTTTATAATGAGAATGCTAACTAGTGTGGTAGGAAAATATAAAAGAAAATTTGGTACAAATTTTTTACAACATACAAAATGAACATGATTTAATAATACAAATAGTATAGCAAGGGCAATATTGTATATTATAAAGAAATTATTTTTATTTATTTTTTTTTCAAGGTGAGATTGCTTCTCTAGGTATTTTTTATTATGTTAACTGTATATATTACATCTATACAGACATGTAATACAACTAACTTTTAATGTATGGCAAGACTAAGGCTATAGTCAACTATCTATATCTGGAAACTACCTTATATGATAATTCAAAGTATCTCTAGTATCACAATTTACCTCTGACCTAATACCAGCTGGCAAGGTAAACAACCTACTAGACTAGGTTGTTTGTGTCCCACACACAACAACCTTTCTGCAGTTACTAAAGTTTCTACTTGCAATTTGTTGTCATACTTCAAGTTCATTAATGATGTTCTGGGTCTCTACTCCTGCAGTGTAGAATTCTAATGAATCTGCAGTTCCTTGACACATAACCCATTGATCACTTTTTGTTTTTATCTGGTTTACAACAACCCCGGTACCCATATTTGAATCATCTTCTTATTCGGATTCTTTATTGGTCCCTCCTTTACTTCCAGCTGGCAACTCGGAAGGGTTGGTTTACCCAGGCTTTAGGTACCTGAAGGACATCCTCCCCTTGGTCCATACTTTCAGAGCATATGTTCTTTTCCTCTGGTGTGACAACCCAGCAGTTCAGCTAGTGTGTTCTCCACTATAGAACCTGGTTGCTCAGTTTTCTGATTTTGGGCCCTGGTTCAAATTAAGCCCTCTTGTGATACCGTTGAAGATCACTACTACCTCCAGATTTGGGTCTTTCATATAGGTTTTCGGTTATGCCAGTTCCTCGGGTTTATTGTGCCAAAATTCATTTTATTAACAATTATTTTACTAATAGCTTATTTCAATAACAAGACAATTTTGATTATTGTTGTTAGTATAGGTTAGAATTAAAGTTAAGGCTAGTGTAGTTTATAAAAAATACTTGTCAGTAAAATAAACTGTTAGTGAAAAAATTGTAGATAAAATAAACTTGTCAATAAGTTAATTGTTGATAAAATAAGCTTGTTTGTAAATTAACTATTAGTAAAGATAAGCAAAGTTGATTACATATTATTGCATATTATTTCTAATTATTTTTTTAATATTTTTGTATAATAATAAATAAATAATTATTATACTGTCATCCTTCTCTATAATCATGCAGTCCATATCATGCAAATTGTATAACTGTATAAAGATTTTTACTATAATGTGCTTATAAAGAAGTATTTTTTTATAAGTTTATTAGTAAAGTGCTGCAGGCCTTAGTGTGATTATAAAAAGGGTTTTACTATAATGTGATTATATAGAAGTTGACTATATAGGAGAAAGACAGTATAGCAAAATTCAATCTGATCAGCAAATTATTAAATTTAAAAATTTTCTTTACAAATTATATTTGAAGTAATAATTATTTATTATAATTAATAATTAGTAATAATATATATATATAAGTACTAAGTAAAAAAATAAGTATATCATTAACTTGCCTATCTCTAGATGAAATGATTATCAGTGAAATAATATTTACCTATTTTATTTATATTTATTTTATTAAATTTAGTATATATTTTATCTAAATTAGTTTGTGAAAATTCTTTTTTTTTTTTGAATTAAAGGAGACCTTCTTGGTCAGCGAGTTTATTAAGCAAAGCTAGACACTATACATTATGATGAAAGTATATCAAGTTACACATGCACCTTTTGGGTACCTATTTAAGTAGTCTGCCTAAAGGTTCTACACTATCTGCTGTATCTGTAACCCAACTAGGAGATTACCTATTTAAACCTTCTGATCTTAATATATTTGCCTAATATCACCTAATGCAGATGTAACTCACTATTTAAATGTAGGTTTTGCAACACCACTATATATTTTTAGCCAATTTAGAACACTTTACTATCCTCGAAGATAAGCCCAACAGAGCAATACATGTTCCACACATGTAATCATCTGCATGTTCTATAATATCTTTCTAGTTAGTACCTGTTGTGATACTGACACGAGTTTGTATCTCAAACTGTCTTTTTAGAGTTTGTGGAAATTCTAATTTGTTAAATTCATAAATTCTTGTATATTTTTATTGACTTTGTTTTATTTTTACCAATTAAAATAAATAAGGCATTTAGATATCAAGAAATTTGAACTCATTTTATTTAATTTTACTATGCAAATAATATGTAAGATAAGTGAAAAATAAATATTTATAAACTAAGATATTTAAAATAAATTATTCAGGTTGTAAATCTTTACTATCTAGTTATACTTAATTATTTTATTTGAATTATTTTAAAAATATAAAAATACAATTTGCTTTTATATATAATAATTAAAACACACTTGTATGATCATGTTCTAAATATAATTTATAAAAAACAAATAATCAATATTTTATAATACCAAAATAATATATAGTTATTGGATGTGAAGCAGCCAATAACTCGAATTATTTGTAAAATAATTCATTAGGAGTTATTGGCTAGCGTAGCATACAATAACGGAATTATCCGGTATCTTATGACGATTGTGCTTCTAAATGATTCGAGTTTTGGCAGTGATTAAATAACGAAGTTATTTGGCAGATGATGTATCACTGCCAAATAACTCGAGTTATTTTGGCAGCACAATCACAATAAGCTGCCAGATAATAATTACTTACTAGTTCACTATATCAACTCTAGCAGTAAAGCCACCTACATGTATAATTCTAATTATCAAATAAATTTGGAAGATCTACAATTAATTTTAACATAAATATGAAACTACAACCTAACTGAAGAAAAAACCAGCTTGCTTGTTGAATTATTTGATACACAATTAACTTTATATAGTTGTGAAAATACTATAAATATTTTCTGAGATAGTGGCATATTCAATAACTATGAAATTCTAAATGGCTTTAAAAATATTGTATTACAAATTCAAAAAAGGATCATAATTTTTACCCAATTTCATTTCTCAGTTGCAGTTTTAATACAAAAAAGTAGGTATCTGTATGAGGTTAGTTATTATTTATAAAAAGTTAAATTATCAAATAATGATAATATTAAATCAATACTAAAGAAGATAATTTTTTGAATATTACATATAGAGATAAGTCTGCCTTTTCAGATTTTGATATAGATATTGACACAGAAGCTTCATTTGCACTGAGAATTTTATGCACATAGTAATCAAAACATGTTTTATATCTTGTTTGTATAAACTATTAGAAAAGAAAATATTAAATAGTTAATATTAATTATTACCTCACAAACTATCTATAAAATCAAGTATAAACATATAGAACAGGACAACTCTTCCTGTAGATCACTTTACCAAATTAGAAACAAGAAGAAAAAATTTTCCTGCGGCATTTTCTCAAAAACTTATTAAGTAAATTGATATCCGGCTCTTAAGTAAAGTTATCCAGCACCCCGTAAACTA